AAAAAAAAAAAAAAAAAGGCTAAGATTCAGACCTCTGAGATGATGCCACGTGCCTCTGGTAAGGACGAAGTTTGCCAGGCCACCTGAGAGAGCGCCGCGCGCCTCCCAGATGCTGCAAGAGCACCCTGCCCGCCCCCCCACCAGCAGGGACCCCTGCGGGCTCCTCCAGTGCCCCTCCTGGCACAGCCTGGCACCGAGCCAGCGCCTGAGCAGAAGCGAGGTCTTCAGAGTGAGCTCTGGCCTTACAGAATAGGGGAAATGGGGTGAATTGGGGACCCAGAGGCAGTAAGTTCATTACTGGCATAGCCTGTGTCATTTTGTATTGATTTGCAGAACTTCTTTATATATTCTGGCAATGCGTAGTGTATTGGTTATTTGTGTTGCAAATATTGTCTTCCACTCTGTGATTTAGCCTCTTTGTCATTTAAAGAAGAAAAGCTTTTAATTTTAATGTAGTTCAATTTATCACTTTTTTATGGTAGTACTTTTGATGTCTTTTTTATGAAGTCTTTTCCACCCTAAGGCTGTAAGAATGTTCTCCAGTGTTTCCTTAGAAGCTTTACTGGTTTCTTTTCACATTTAGGTTCTCATTTGGCCTGGAACTGATTTTTGTGGATGGCTGGTGTGAGGTAGGGAGGGAGCCAAGTTACTTTTATGCCATGTTTTGTCTGGGTGACCCAGCATTCTTGAAAAGGACGTCATTTCCCCATGGCAGTGTACCTGTGGCACCGGGCAAGCGTCTCACCTACCTGCTCTCCCAGCTTCTGTCCGGTCGCACTGACCTCTCGCCCACCCTTAGACCAACACCTCTGTCTTCATTGCCGTAGCTTCACGATAACTCAGTAGTCAGGCCTCCTGTCTCCTTCTTTAGGAGAATCCTGGCTGGTCTTAGCCTTTCCCTTGTCATGAACATTTAAATCAGCTTGTCATTTTTCCCAAAAAAAAAAAAAAAAAAAAAAATCCTGGTATTTTCATTGGGATTACATGACATATGTGTCATTTGGGAAGAACTGTTATAGTTAAGTATTGACCCCTCAGCCTGTAAACATAGTGTATAGATTCATTTATTTAAATCTTCTTTATTTTTAATAACATTTTTCTATTTTCTTGTGTAAAGGCCTCAAATACCTTTCATTAGATTTCTTCTTAGGATGTGCAAATTTAATACTACTGCAAATATGTTTTTTCATTTTAAATTTCTGTTTATTACTGGTAAATTACCCATAAGTATAAATAACTGTGTTTATGGTGATTTTAAATTTCTATGTACTAAAATCTGATTGTTGTTGTTTCTGGGTTTTCTCTCTTGTTTTGGAAAGTTTTTCTTACCCAAAGCTATAACAATTTTTTCTACATTTTATTCTTAGACTTTTAGAGTTTTGTTTTTAAATGTGTAGAGTTCTAACCCACATGCATTTAGCTTTATTGATAAAGAATTTTGTTTTATTTTCATAATTCTCTAAATTTTCACATACAACCATGAGTTGGTGTCCAGGCTCTCTGTTTATTTTCACTGATACATTTGTCTTTTCCTATTTGTTAACATGCTGTAATGACTATATTTAACATACACTTTAATACTTAATGTAATAGGATATCTTGATAACACAAACCCCTCATTATTCTTTTCCAAAATTCTAACAATTTTAGAACATTTTATTTTCCATGTGAACATTTGAATAACTTTGTCAGGTTGAATATGTTGAGTTGTTGATTAAAAGTGTATTGAATTAGTTTCAGGTATACAGCATAGTAGTTAAACACTTATATAATGTACGAAGTGATCCCCCTGAAACTAATATAAAATAATATTGAATGCCAACTGTAATTGAAAAAAAAGGAGAAGGTGAAAAAACGTTTTTAAAAAGTACATTGAATTAGGGAAGGATTGACGGAGAATGGAGCCTTCCCGTAGGAACATGGCCAGTCAGTTCATTCATTAAGGCTGCTTTTATGTCTCCAGTAAGGTTTTGTAGATCTTTAAGTTTATTTTTCATCAAGTTTTACATTCGAAATTGTTTTAAACAAGTAATGCATTAAAATACGTAAAAATTAAAATTCATGTAAGAAATTTACTCAAATATCCCACTCCCATCCCAGTCCATTCACCTACAAGAAATTATTTGTATTAGTTTATTGTTTATCCTCATAGTATTTCATTATGCAAAAAGAGGCAAGGGCAGGTGTGCCCTTTTGTCCCTCACTTCTCCTCTCCTACCGAAAAAAGGCAGCCACTGTGCTCATCAGCCCGCGTCTGCTTGCGTCACGTAGCGACCCAGCCCAGCTTCCCTGTTCCTGTTTCCAGCGCGTCCTGTCCCGGCTGTGGGGTGTGACGTCACTGACGTAAACCAGCCCCGGAATGAATACTGTACTGTTTCAAGGTTCTCACTATCACAAGTTTTCCTGGGAGAAACCATGTAAATATATCATTTGTATATGCGCAGGAGTATCTGCTGGAGAAATTTTCAGCGGTGAGTTTGCTGGCTCACCGGGAATGTTTTTCCACTTTGATAAATGCTGCATTGTTTTGCCCGGAACCAGCATTGCCTGTGCCTGTCTCGCCGTAATCGGCCCAGCAGCGAAACAGTGAGTGCCAGACTTTCCAGTCCAGCAGGCCAGCACCAGTGTCTCCGTGTGCTTGACCCACAGTTTTCTCGTCGTAAGTGAATTTGAGCCTCTTATGTCTCGGAATCCTTGGTGATTCTTTTTCTGCCTGTTATCAGTACAGAGGTATCATCCTGAATCTGTTTTCTGCTGGGTTTCATACAGGTTTTGTTTCCGGGAATGTTCTCTCATTCAGTCCTCACAGTGCCCTGCATGGTGGTCACCGCGACGCCCCTTTTACACACAAGCAAGGGCAGGCTGAGAAAGTTCAGGCAGCTTGTCCAAGGTCACACAGCGAACTAGCAGGCAGGGCTGGGAGCCAAATCTGTTTGTCTCCGACTCCAGGGCTCCCTTTCTGCTGTCTGATTCCGAACCTCCAGGGGGGCAAGCCTTACCTGGTGCCTGCGGCCATGCAAGGCCCCAGGCCCGGAGTGAGGCAGCCGCTGTCTGCATGTCTCCGGGAGTCAGCCCTCCCTTCTGCCAGAGGTTCCAATGTCCTGGCTGACGTGTCTCAGATGATTTATTGACATAATAGACACCATTTTAAAAAGGTGGCCAAGGATCACACATCAAAAGTGCAAGTTTGAAAGGATTAGAAACATACTTTGGAAACATATTTCATTTTGACTCTAGACTTAATTAAGATATTGCTGGAGTAATACCTTAGACAAGCAAAGAACTGGCACTTTATCCAGTCATCCCCCATCTCTGTAAAAAAAAATAAAATAAATGTGGATTGCATGGAGTGAGGTATTCATAATTATTTCATGCAGGGGAAAAAAACGAATGAAGAGGTATCAGGAGCTCATGTCATCAGTTTCACAGATCTAGGTCTAATCAGAGCACCTTATAAAATTAAAACGGCTGCCTCTTTATTCTAAGATGTTTGTAGGTATCATCAAATCAATATCAGTTGAAATACTCTTTAATGATATGATCATTTCAAAATTAGACTAATTTTAATTAGTAGCAAAAGCATTTTTGGAACCGAAAACCTGTATCTTTCTTAGCTGATTCGTGCTTCTGCTAACATTTAGAATTTTCCTTAGGGGAAAAGGGCAGTATTTAACTTCCAGTGGACATTAATCCTGATTTTCCCTAGCACCCAACTTACGCTCAGGTAGTGAGTTCTCAAGAAAGCTCTTGGCCTTTCCAAGGTCTCGGAGGTGCTGCTGGGGGCTCACTGAACTCGATCCCATGTGTTATTCCCACTCAGTCACAAGACGAATGAAAAAATATACCAAGAACTTCTCAGTCCCGGCACCCTGGCCGTCCGAGTCTCCCTCTCTGCCGGGTTCCAAGCGCTCACCGCGTCCTTCATCCTTTCCGTCGGGTCTCTGCCTCCCCAGACACAGTACACGGGAGGCCAAGGCCCTCCTTCAGATTTGCCTAATCGTGCTTTGTTGGGCCACACATTATTGAGCATCAGAAAAAAATTAAATTGGTTGCCTTTATTTAAAAATTGGGAGATTTCATCTGAGATCCAAATTCCCTGCTTCTTTTGGTAAAGTAAAAGAGGTGAGCGAGGACAGCAGTGGTCCCTCCCGTGTCCTCCCAGCAAAGCCCCGGTTCTGTCCACTTGTTCCCCTGCTTTTCCTCAGCCATTGGTTCCAGATGCAGGAACGGATCCGGTTCCCAAGCCAGTCAGCACAGGCCATTCTCTTGGGATCTGTTATGGGACCAGGAGGGGCAGGGTGACCTGGGTGTGTCCGGCCGGAATGGAGGAAAGCAGCTGCGGAGTGTGGCGGAGGGAGCGCTGTTCCCGTCTGCCCCGAGGCGGGTAGCCGACAGGGAGCAGCCCCAGCCGCCGTGGCCCCAGCCAGCCAGAGGGTGAAGCCAAAGCGGGCCCGGGGCAGGACAGGAAGGTGCATTCTTGGTGGACACGGGAGCTGCTGCTGGACCCGCACCGCCCAGCGCCCCTGCACGGCCGGGTCTACGAAGGGAAAGATTCTCACTCACAGAGACGGGTGGAGTCGGCAGGGGCCCACGCTCTCTCCTGCAGCAGCAGACACCTCCTCCTGCCCTAAGTACCCACGACGCACCTAGTGGGGGTCTTCCCGACACCTGAGTCCGGTCCTCCGATGTTGGTCATCATCCTTGTTGTCATAAAAGGGGTAAGAGAAATGGGCAGTCTTTCTTATGCCCACGTCATCATCAAAAGCAGAGAAATGACAGCTGGACTAAGAAGGCTGAGTGTTTCAAGGGAAGTGAGAGAAAACAGTTTTCTTACTCTTGACCTGGGTCACTCACCTGTCCTGTCCGGTCCGCCCAGCCCTGCCATGTCTGAAGTAGTGGCTGTTGGCCTGGTTGTCAACACGCCCCCTATGCACACGTCGCATGGCGCCCGGTGCCTGTGCTGGCCGCCGTGAGGGAGCGGCCGCCCCGGGCGCTGCGGCCGCCAGTGCGGTTTCTCCCAGCCGGCCGCACGGCGTGGCCAGGGCTGCCCTGCCCAGCCCCGCACGCCGTGGGGGACATCGCGCCCGACTGCGACGCGTTCTCTCCTGGATGCACTTTCTGAGACTCAGGGAAGCATATTTAAAACATTATCAGCAAATCAAAGCCTCTGATGAATCACGACTTTGCCTCCTGCCCCCAGTGGCCTCCGAGGGAGACGCAAACTCTGACAGGGAACAGGCGAGAAGTAGAATATTTGTGGCAGACAGATGGTCGCCTGAAGTTACAACTTCCCCTTGTAACTTAAAAACCACTGAAATCGGAGACTCCTTTTTTTCTCTTTCTTTTTTTTTCCTTCTTGCAAAACTCTGGCCAACCCAGGGCAGAGAGACCCTCCTGGTCTCCGGAACGGCCTCTGAGCCCCTGCGTTCCCGGCTCGGACCCCCACAGGAAGAGCCGACTGGCTGAAGCTGGCTGAAAAGCGTCTCCGTGAAAATGTTTCCAGGGACGACGGCCCCTTCCCAGCCTGCAGCCAGCCGTCCACTTCGGGGGGCAGAACTGCTCCCCGTTAACGCGTTGGAAGCAAGAGCAAATATGGCAGCGACTGGCTAGCCGAGAGCGGGGAGGGAGGACGAGACAAAGTACAGAAGTTCTTGGAGCTCCCAGCAAGGCAGCTGGGTTAAACAATTAGTACTAATTGCCTTATGTCAAGCCGGCAGTTGCAGTAAACAAACACAATTCACAAAGAAACCAGCCTGAGCTTCTTCTGATTAAACAGTGTTGCATTTTTAAATGTGTTACCGATACATGCTGTGCCCTTAAGAAAATGACTACACTGTCACAGGCATAGCAAAGACACTTAGAAATAAATTCGGCTGCAAGATAAGGAAAGTACATGATAAATTAAGCTCTGCGTATAAATTCTTAAGAGCCTCCATTTTAATGCTGGTCATTATTCAACAAATTTTTCTAAGAAAATGCCAAATAGGCAGGAACGAGTAATTAGGAGAGAAAAGTGAAACTGTCATGGTTAATGGGTTGCAGCGCGCTCTTTACCTTCCCTTCCTGAGACCGGCCTGGGGAGGCGGGGCCTTGGGGAGCCAGGGGCACCGTGGGCCCAGGGCCGGGTCTCTGCCCCGCAGGCTGGGCAGGGGAGCAGTGGGCGGGGTGGGGGAGGGCCCTGCAAAGGGGGGCTCAGGAGCCGAGTCCGGCTCCCACGCGGAGCAGCGTGGGGCTCCGGGGACGCGAGGCTGGAGTGCCACACTCCTGCGGTGCCCAGGCCGCCATAAATCTGAAATCACTGGGGATATTGTTAGCGTTCAGCAAGTATTATTAAAATGAAGGGAAATTTATGGATGACACTTTGTAACAATTAATCAGGAACCGTTGATTAATAAAGTTAGTTCCTTATTCTCCTGAAACCTGGGCGGCCACGAGAATTGTCAGACGGATCATTTTATTCATTATTTTTGATTAATGCACCCAGATTCTCTGACTCTGAAGGAAAAAAACCGTCTCCACTATGCAAAATCATAAATACTGAATGAGTCTGTATACAGTTAACCTTGGCCATGGTTAGGAAATTCCAAGGAAGAAACGTGCATATTCAGCAAATAAATTGCTGCAAGGATTAAAAACCAAATTGAGGGGTTTGATGAGCATCACCTCTCCAGACCTGTCTGTCTTTTACAAATTCCAGTGATTAATTGGTTTGTTTAGACCCTCAATTAGCCCACTGAAGCAGAGACACCCCCAGCAGGCAGCAGTCATGACCAAGAGACGGACAGGAGGAAAAACCTCCCAGTGTGTCCGACTTAGGAAAACACTCCGGCCTTTTCTCTCCCTTGTTTGTTTGCTTCCCAGCTACTCTCCTTACTCTTCCCAGCGCTGTGAGCCCGGCTGCTTTTGGTGACCAGCCAGCCTCATCTTGCCCCGGCTCACTTACCACCCACAAGGAGAGCTCCCCGGAGTCCTGGTCGCTGGCCCCCCGGGGAAATGCACCCAGACTCCAGCACCCACTCATCCGCCTCCCCAGCAGTCCTGGCGGGAAGGGCTGTGGGAACCAGCCCGCTTAGAACACTGGGGGAAACTGAGGCTAAGACAAGACTGCAGAGACCACACCCTCTGTCAAGACTCAAGGCTGCCCTGGTTTCCATGTCAACAAAGCCCTGGCTCTTCCTTCTCTGTTTGTTTGCTATGATATCGGAAATTGGAATTCCTTTTGCAGTCATAAAGGACACCGAGTCTGTGCGGTGTGGGGTGTTCCTCATTTCCAGGGTGCACACTAGTAAGAGGTGGATATGTTAACATATAATATTGCTAAATGGATTAGATTCTGTGTTTGTGTTCATTTAGAAAATAATAGGTACAACCTTAATAAAAACATTTATATATTTTTACACCGAAGATACAAAACCCCAAAGCAAACTCATTAACTAGTAATTTTACCCTTATTAAAATACATTTATTTGTATGCTTACATGATTTGATCGCTTTAAAAAAAAAAAGAATATTACTTTTCTTGCAAATATTTCTGCAGTTTGCTCCCCTGTTCTGTTTGTTGGGAAAGTTCTCTCATTTTCTGGAGGTTATAATTAGCGATAATTTGGCCGCTTTCATCATATTTTGATTCCAGAAATGATTCGTTTGGAAAGACTCTTAAACCTCATAGCATCCTGACAAGATTTTGCCAAAGGCACAAATATCATGTGTGGGTCATTATGTAAAAAATGCAAACTTTGGGCTGAGAGTTGGGGTTAGCAGAAAACAAGTTTAATAACAAAAGCAATGAAGACTGATTCTGAGTCTGAAATCAGATGAAGCCAGAGGAGTGGTGGGTCAGAGAAGGAAGGGTGCTGGCTGGGGCAGGGGAGGGACCCCACTCCCCAAATGGGAGTCCCCCTGCCTTTCAGGTGCCCGCCTGCTGTGATCCTCCAGGCGAGGAGGGCACTTTGGGGGGTGACCCTAATAACGTGAGGTGGAATTCTAATCTTCGTCGTCAGGAGGGCAGACAGAGGGCTAATTGTTAGGACTCGTAAATACACACTCAAAATGTTGGACGTGAAGCCTGTTCATTATACACCGTCCTGCTTTTGGCGAGAGCCGCGGCAGAGTCGCCCAGGGGGCCAAGACTGGCAGGGCCGGGGTCTGCCACAGGGCTGGCCGTCGCCCCGGGCTGGGCCAAGGCTCATGGGGTTGGCTTACCCGGTCCTCACCGGGACACTCAACTCAAAGGCAGCGGCCCAGCCAGCCTGGCCCCTCTCCGGCAGACGTCGCTCCCACTGAGCAGCACCCAGCGAGGTGACTGCACACGTCACGGGGGCTCTGCACTGGCCTCTGCCAGGATCCTGAACACAGCTCATGTATGGAAATTGCCAACAAAAGAAATGAAGAGCAGGAATCCTGTGATTAGTGCACTGATCAAGTCAGACCCTCTCTGCGTCACTGCGGCGTGGCCACAGAAAGGCGTCATTAACGAAGCCCCCCCCCCC